GGGCACTGCCTTGGGTGCCACGTTGCACACCCAGGATACTGGGCACTGCCTTGGGTGCCATGTTGCACACCCAGGATACTGGGCACTGCCGTGGGTGCCACGTTGCACACCCAGCGTGCCAGGCCCCACCCAGGGTGGTATGTGATACCCAGTGTGCTAAGTCGTAGCACTGGGTGGTGCTGCCCCCACGTGGCACGTGTTGCCTGGCCCAGTGGGCGAGGTGCTGCCCAGCCCGGGTGGGCGGTGGGCCCTGCAGCTGAGAGCTGTCACAGTGACAAGTCGCTGCCGCTGCGGCTAGAGCGGCACTAACCAAAGGAGCAGGTGGTGCCAGCATGGGCATCGCCCCTGCTTGTGGCAGTGACCGGTGCAGTGCATGGCTCCCAGCAGGCAGGCAGCTCAGGCCAGTGCAGGCTGGTCCCCAGTGATGTGGGCTCCCCCAGTGTCGAGGGCAGAGCCCTGGGGCGCAGCAGGACCCACTGGGAGAAGCGGGCCCCGCTGGGTCTGCTGGGGCCCCATTGAGGGGATTCACAGCCCCGTTATCTCTGAGCCCTGATGTCTCACCAGGGGCCCTGCAGCCGCCGCAGCCTCAGCACAGCTGTCGGGGACGGGGGAGCCCATCACCACCCCTCGGGGCTCTGGCCTGTGTCTGTTGTGTGGTTGCATGTGTGAGTTCATCCCCCGGAGCAGCCTGACGCGATTAACCTGGTGCTGGGACCTCCCGGCCCCGAGGCCCCCCCGGGGTCATCGGAACCTCGGCAAGTTAGTGCAGAGGGGAGGAGACAGGCACCCCTGAGCTTTGCCTGGCGAGGATGACGGGGGTGCCAGAGTCAGTCTATAGCCTAGACCAAGGGCTACTGACCCCCCCCCCAGCCCCTGCTGCTTCCGACTGAGGCACCAGAGCCCCCAGGGCTCCTCCACCCTGTCCCCCACCCCCACAGACCTGGCTAGTTTTCTGCCGGCGGATGTGCAGCTCCTTGGGTTCAAACCCTTCCGGCTGCCCTGGCTGGGCTCCCAGCAGGGTCCCCCAGGGGTGTAGGCCAAGGGGTAAATATCACCAGCTCCAGGGGCTCTCCAGTGCTTTGCTTCTCGCGGCAGCGCCGGATTCTTCACAGCCGGCAAAGAGCTGAGAACGCGGGTAGGTGCTGGGCAAACTCCCCCGCCCTCCGCTCTGCCGCTGCCCCTCGCTCCTGAGCCACAGCCCCCTGCCGGAGTTCGCACCCAGGGCTGGGATGTGTCCAGCAGGACCGGCCCCTTCTAACCCTCTCCCAGCAGCCCTCGCTTCCAGGTCAGCCCGGCTCCAGCCTGGCGCTGTGGGCGGTGATTGGCGGGAGATGGGGGGTTACATGGTCTCTGTGAGGGGAGGGGAAAGGGGGGCATGAAACCATAGCAGAGGAGAAGAAGCCAAGTCCATGCCCAGGCCACCCCTGGAACATACCCGTGCCTGGGGCCTCTCAGCAGGGAATCCCCTGTGTGAGCTGCACCATGCGCAGTCAGCCCCGGGGGTGGGTATCACGATGCAAGCAGGTCGCACCTTGCGTTAATTTACTGTCTGTGGAAGGCCATGGAGCGAGCCGAGAGGCGCAGGGATGGTGCCGTTAGGGGACTACCCTGGGACTTAGGTGACCTTTGTTCAAATCTGTGTTCTGCCACTGAGCGCTTGGGTTAGTTTGTGCCTCAGTTTCCCATGTGCTGCAGAGGGATAATAGCAGTGTCCTGCTTCACAGGGAGTGTTGTGAGGATAAATATATGAACGATTGTGAGATGCTTTGATGCTACAATAACGGGGACTAGATAAGAACTAAAGTAGAGTCAAGAGAGTTGGGTTCTCTGCCACTGACCCACTGGGTCTCCTTAGGCAAGTCACTTTCTCTGTGTGCCTCAGTTTCCCCTCGGTAATATGGAGCTGCTGGGGCTTCCTACCTTTGAGCGCCTGTAGGAAGTGTGCTGTCTGTGTTCAGCACCAGATGAATCAAGCAGCCCAGCGGGGAGAAGAAACTCTGAAATGGCTGGGCTGTTTGTTTTATGGCTTCATCGTCTGCTCCTAACACACACCCTCTCCTGCTTCCTTTGTGTCCCTCCCCACCATGGCAGGCCTGGTGCCGCCTGGTCACAGCCGCCTACAATTACTTCCACGTCACCACCTTCTTCTGGATGTTCGGCGAGGGCTGCTACCTCCACACGGCCATTGTGCTCACCTACTCCACCGACAAGCTCCGCAAGTGGATGTTCATCTGCATCGGCTGGTGTAAGTCCCAGGGGTGGGCACCAGCGCTGCATGCGGGGATCCGTGCAGGCAGCAGGGGTGG